GGCATTGATTTTGCTTGTTTTCTTCTTAAGGGTGTTCCCTCCTCCCCTTTTTATTGAAGGCTCAAATTTTCCATTTGAAAAAGGCCATTTATTTGCCTCTGGTTCTTGGTTTGGTTGTATTCAGCTGATAGAGACATAAACAGAGAAAGAAAGAAACTTCATCGATGGTACATGGTATATGGGTAATAGCATCACAGCCACAAGGATTATAGGCAAAGCTTCTAGAGTTTTTTTAAAGGGGATTTTTCCTGTTGTTTTTCTCCTCTTTGTAAAGGTATTCTCGAGAAAACAATAAACATGAAGTTTATGAAGCTTGGCTCCAGGCTTGAAGTATTCCAAGCTGATGACAAAAGCATCGGGTAAGATGGGTTTCAGTCACATTCTTTTCTCTAGCTTTATGTTATCTCCCTTTGATTTGGTTTCTATTTTTCCTCGCATTTTGTTTTCCATTGCGCTGTTTGTTCCCGACATGTTTAACTATTGATTTTGGTGTTTTCGCCATATTGTATTGTTCATATTAGTCCTTGCGGATTCTTAGACGCAAGCTTAGCTCTAGTCTCTATCGATTTTCTACCAATACATTTACTTTATCTGATGATTTTGTGGGAAATTTTTTTTTTTCAACTGTGTTTTGCTTTGCTTGAGGAGTTAAAAAGAGAAATTTGAAGTGGCTAATCATTCCACGGAAAAGTCACAACTTTAACAAGAAATTTTTTTGGGGCTTGTGACAGATGAACCACATGGGTGGTTACATTGAAATTATTATTCTTTTATTGTTTGGTTTTTATGGGGTGATTGAAGAGTGTAAAAAAAAGACATGAGGTATCTTGAATGTGGTTCAGCTGTTGAACTTCTTCTCTTTTTCATGAGTTAGTGGTCCAAATATGTGGAAAGGCATATTGGGAGCACGCACGCCTTCAATCATGGTTGTTAAGAATCTCTCCTCGTTGTAATCAATTAGCATATACCTAACGAGGAGTGAGCTTGGGATTTACTCCATTATAACATGCTCAATAGCCTCTTCCACTGACAGCACGTTCTCATAACCGAATCACTTCATCTTTGTCTTGCTAAGGGTGTGGTAATAAGTAAGAGGGAACTAGTCTCATAAGCAAATCGATGTGTTACTTGAACTATGTGCTGATCTGAGATGCTTACACTCTTTGACTAGCAGATTAATAAGACCTGATTAAGATTACACAATTCATTCGAACTCGGAAATTGAAGTAGACTTGAGAGCTCTAAAATGGAAACCTGTAGATGTCTTTCTTCGTTGAATGTATAGTTGCATTGAGGCCATTCTAATGTATTTCTAGAAAGCTGAGGCCAGAGTCTTTTTCTGAAGACATCTTGGTCGAGCTCATACTTAATATCTTTGTTGCAACCGTAAGGACTTAACTAAATAATTAAAAGCTAATAAACCTTAATTAATCTTTAATTAAAGTGCAATTGCTTGACAACTGTGATTTTGAGGCTTTCAAGCCATTTCTGTGCTCCTTGTTTTTTTCTACAGTTATTCATGTTTGAGAAAGCCAGTAGTTGCGCCTAAAAGTCGTCAAGCCATGTAGTTTCTCATTGAATTTAATTTTCAAGTCCTTTGACAAAAATATGACGAGTGACCAATAACCTTAGATTCTTTCACTGGAGCCAATGAGGCAAATATGACTTTTGCTTTGTTCTTTTGATTCTTTTAAGGCCCTTATCTTCATGATGAATGCGACTTCTTTGCGTGTATGTGTTTTTTTTTAGGGGAGAATGGGTTGAGTTTTTGGTGTTCTCTCAATGTGTTTAGGTTTAAGTTTTCCCTCTTGGTGTAGTAAACAGAAACTTCCCGTTAACACAGGTATATAGCATCTGATTTGGCAATAGATGTCACCATTACTGTTGGCGAAGTTAAATTCTACCTTCACAAGGTATGCTTAATTCCTTCTAAATTTATGAATTTCAAGCATTCCGCCTATGGAGAGCAACTGCTTAATTATAATTGTCAAATGTCACTTTTACATGGCTTTGCAGTTCCCTTTGTTGTCTAAGAGCCGTTGCTTGCAAGAACTAGAGCTGAAAGCCAGTGAAGAATGCTGTGGTGATGTTAATATGGTTGATTTTCCTGGTGGGCCAAAAGCATTTGAAATTTGTGCCAAATTCTGCTATGGGATGACTGTTACTTTAAATGCTTACAATGTCGTGGCTGCTCGTTGTGCTGCCGAATACCTAGAGATGACTGAGGATGTTGATCGAGGTAACCTAATATTTAAGATCGAAGTATTTCTTAATTCTAGTATATTCCGTAGCTGGAAAGATTCCATTATTGTTGTACAAACCACCAAATCTGTTCTACCATGGTCCGAAAACCTGAAGATCGTTGGAAGATGCATTGATTCCATAGCATCTAAAACCTCTATGGATCTTGAGAAAGTTACATGGTCCTACACTTGTAACTGGAAGCTGTCAGCACGTGACAAAATGATCAATGATGGTTTGAAATTTCGAGAGTAGATTGTATCTGTTTCGAATGTTTGGTGGGTTGAAGATATATGTGAGCTAGACATTGATCTCTACAAGTGAGTCATGACTGCTGTGAAATCAAAGGGAAGAGTGGATGCGGCGACCAATGGCGAGGCACTGAAAACTTACACTGTTAGATGGTTGCCAGATTCTGTTGATGCCTTGGTTTCTGATGTACACTCATGGAGAAACAAATTACTCGTGGAAACAGTTGTATGCTTATTTCCTTCAGATAAGGGTAGTGGTTGTCCATGTAGTCTCTTGTTGAAGCTGTTGAAAGTTGCCATTCTGGTTGGGGTGAATGATTCTGCAAAGGAAGATCTATTGAAGAGGATAAGTTTAAAGTTGCATGAAGCTTCTGTCATGGATTATTAATCCCGGCGTGGCCTCCCCAAACTACATTATATGATATCGAGATGGTTCTCTCCTTACGAATCAGCATATGATGCATATTCAAGATTTATATGTTGCAAAAAATGAGACAGGATGCACGGATATTGTTCCAGGGCATGGATCCTTGTTGCGTGTTGGTAAACTGATTGATGAGTTTCTTGAAGAAGTTGCATGTGATCCAAATCTTTCCCTTGCCAATTTCATTGAGTTGTCTCGGTCTATACCTGAGTTTGCTAGACCAGTTAATGACAGACTCTATAAAGCCATCGACCTTACCTAAAGGTAGGCTTTTCAACCATGTGCCAATTTCATTGATCTTTTCAATTTCTAGAATTATATATCCCATCATATGCATAAACGCTTTCAGTATAGTTACTATGCTCGACAAAGTTCGTGTTGTGAATATTTTAATGTACTTCTAGGCCACTCTTCCATCAACCATTTTATAGGTTTATTGTACTGCAGCTGTGACAGCGTCTATGACCATTACAGCATCTGCATAGCTTTCGGTGTAACTTTGTAATCCCAAATGCTTCCTTATCTTTCATTATAACTTTGTAATCCCAGCTGTTTTTTTCCTTCTAAATTACGTGCTACAATCGTATAATGAGTACCTGAAACATTTTCGTGAGTGCAATTGGACAGTGAAAAGTAAGTTTTGTTGTCTGCAGGAGCATCCAAGCTTGAAGAAGGCTGAAAGAAAGAATTTGTGCTGCTTGATGGATGTCAAGAAATTGATGATGGATGCATCTATGCATGCTGCACAGAATGAGAGACTTCCATTACTGGTCGTAGTACAGGTTCTCTTCTTTGAGCAGGTTAGGGCTGCTGCAGCCAGAGCTCAATCACTAAACAACAATCCTTGCTGTGCATCCCATTCCACGGCCAACACCGATGAGGAATCAGAGAAGCTGCAGCTGAAAATTGCGACTCCCTCGATAAACAGATGAGTCAGGTTAAGATAAACAAGGAAGAATTCCAAGAAACTGGTAAGTTGGCCAAGAATAATAACAACAGCAGTAAAAGTGGCGTGCAGCTGCTGCCATCTCGATCGAGAAGAATATTTGACAAGTTGTGGGGTTTCGGTAAAGATCATGTCGAAAACGGAAGTTCCGAGACGTCTAGAAGTTCGCTAAGCTCAGCTTCAATGGTTCCAGGGGATACCAAGTCTTCGGGTTCATCTTCGAGAAATGGGAGGCACTCTATATCCTCCTAGAGAAAGAAGATTCAAAATATTTTAAGTGTAAAAAGCTGTGGGATTTTGTGGTAGTTTTATGATGAAGGTTCTTGTCATATGTGAACCATTCTAAAATCTTATCCAATTGAACGATCGTCCTTGTATTAAGTCTCAATGTGGTTAATGGAGGATTACATTTCCTTGAAACTACGAGTCCTTGTGAAATAATACATACACACACAGAGACGGTAAAATCAAGCAACCAAATGCTTGGTTCACAGGAAGTGTTAGGCTTCCCTGAAAATGCAAGAAAACGTGAGAAAGTATGATATCCATGAAATTTCCCTTCTCTTGCGTTCAACACAGCTGCAGAAAGCTACCAGTTTACCACCTTTTTTTAACACTGAAATACAACTATTTTCCCTGAAAAGAAAATTTGATGGATTGAATATGACAGAAGTATGCTTCCTGAAATTTCTCAAAATTTGACTATATATATACACACAATTATTCTTCTACAAAACGCTGTTAAAGCTGTAGTAACATTTACATAAAACATGGCAAATCTTCTTGTTTAATCTTCTTTATTTTAATAATCCTAAATAGTGACTATATGGTCTTAAAGTTCTTAAGCTTCATTAGCAATGGACATGCTTCTCTTTGAAGACAACAATTTTGCATGAAAAGCTTTCGTAACTTTCCCTTTCGGAGATCAGATTTTTTTTTTCTTTTTGGCTCGTAACTTAACCGACTCTTGTTCTTGAAGATGACGATCTCAAAAAGTTTCCCTTTTTGTTGGAAATCTCAAAAAAAAAAAAATTATGACCCAGATAGGAATAACCTGCAACATTTTGAAAACTGATAAATTAATATAAATTTATCATCAAGGAACCCCTTCTTAGACCGTGAACTTCATGATAAATAACTTTGAGCCTGTTTAGTATAAAACTTCAAGGGATAGTGAGGAGAAAAAACCCAATTAGGGGAAAAGGAAAATGGAGTTTAAGAACAGTACCATCATATTGTTAATGTTGCTTCTCTTGATCCATTTGTCTCTGCCACATTTCACCGAGTCAATTCCTCGATGCAAGGCATGGTTGGTCCAATCAATCCCTACAGATATGCCTCATCTCCATCGGGTCCCTGGTGTCCTTTCCACTGGTAACACTCTTATCTGCTTCAAGCACCAAAGTGAAAATTAGTGGAACTGATCTTTGTTTTCTTTGACCCCTTTTTCTTGCTTTATAGGTGATGTATTTAAGTGGTTGGCGTACAATTCAACTGCCAAGCTAGATATAATAGCTCACTATTGGCAGTTGAAAGCACAACCAAAGGATTATCAGTCAGGGGATTATGGATATTTGAAAGATGATATGCGTCGTTTTGGTGCCCATCAAGGCTTTTCTGTATATACAGCCCTGCAAAATGCTGCTGATCGAGATGTCGATATCAGGTGATGTCGTATGGATTCAATTTCTTTCTTTACTAATGGAATCAATCGGGAAACTAACTGTTATATTGGGAAATGTAGCATATGCAAATGCTTTCAAAACTTATAGTGCATTGCATATCTTGGTTAAGGCATGGGCTTGATATGCTATCGAAGTGTTGTTCTTCAGTTTTGATTATATTGTTTTTTCCATTCCTCTATCAAATCAGGTTGATACATCACTCTGGAGTGTATCCTGACTACACCAGAGAGCCCTCCAGCCTTGCTTCAAGAAGAGCAAATGTCAAGAGTGTGACTTTATTACTTGATAAATGGTGGGGTTCGGGCATCATTCACGCAAAAGTTTGGATATCAGATAACCGGGATGTATATATAGGATCTGCAAACAATGACTGGAAATCTCTTACTCAGGTATATGAAAGATCATAAAGTACTAGTAGCATTGCAGATTAATTTCTATATTTGTGACATTCTACAAATTTCTACAAGATGTACGTACATAAATCAGTTTTCCAATTATCTTCAGGCATCATAGCAGTTTTGTCTCTCGCCATGTTGTTTTTGAACCATGGGATAAAATGTCATTGTTATGGTTACAGGTGAAGGAACTTGGAATTTATCTTGTTGGTTGTCCAAAAGTAGCCAGAAAGGTTGGCGTCTTCTTTCAGAATCTATGGAGACTTGCATATCTTGATGTCTCAGAATTCACATCAACAATATTAGACCCGAAATGGCAGATTCAAAGAAAACTTCCCTGCTGGTCTCATTTCATTGAATCTGACATGAGATGCACGTATGTTAATGGCCTTGTTTCGAAATTTTCATTACTATTTTCAGAAGTAATATTGGCCGGTGTCACAACTCACAAGTGTATTTAATGTGTATGTTCTTCACGAAAGTTGATGCATTTACATGTTTATTCATCTCAGGCCTCGACTTCCACGTTTTGTGGAGATTCCTTATGCGGCTGGCTACCCTTCATTATCGGACCCTAAAATATTGAAATTGATCATCGATGCTCCTGGATATGGTTATAAAAGTTCAGTGCCTCAGTCCAACTATCTGTCTTTTGCTCCACCTGAAGTAAGTGGAATCTTAAGGCCAACTAGGAATTTGTACTGTTATGCTTCATCCAATTTTGATGCTGACTGCAGTCAGCAGCTTGCATTTGGCAGGTTCCAGCCCGATGAACAGGGATGGCTAGATACAATTAAATCGGTGGGAGATGGAGGCACTGTGAGGATTAGTACCATGGACTGGCTCGGCCAATCCCGATACACAGAGCAAACAGTTTATTGGTCATCTCTTTCTAGTGCTATTTCGGAGGTACTCTCAGATATACCATACAAACTCGTGTGTTTCTCCATTCTTATGATGTTTAAACATGGTAGGTTGTCTTCTCCAAGCATGCAAAAGTGAAGATACTTGTAGCATATTGGTCACATTTTACCGAAAATACCGAGCTCTACCTGAAGTCACTTCTCTACTGCAATGACCTCTGCCATTCTTCCGAGGACAATAAATGTTCAGGAAATATTGAGGTAAAGTACTACAAGGTTCCAGGTTACAACTTGACTGGACCGGCCATCCACAAAAGAAAGCCTACTGGAAATATCTATCCGGCCTACACCAGATTCAATCATGGCAAGTATGCAGTTAGTGATGTGCGTGCTCACATTGGTACCAGCGATATGGTTTGGGATTATTTCTATACAACAGCCGGAGTTAGCTTCGGGACGTATGCCCCTGCCATTGTTTCACAGCTTCAAGAAATCTTCAATGCAGATTGGAACTCGCCCTATGCAGTTCCAGTCGAGGAGACAAGCAACGGCCATGCTTATTCTAGTTAATACTCATTGGACCAACCTAGTTCGAAACTGTGAAATCAATGTCTTGTAAACAGATTACATTTTGCTGTATTTTATCCCAGAAAATTTTAAAAGCATAATCAAATATAATTATTACTTTCATACATATTTTATTTTTATTTTAGACTTCTTTGCATTTTCACCTTGAATAAACCATATTCTAGAGTTGAACTAAAAGATCTAAAATATGAAAAGTCAGCTCAGTTCCCAACTTTCTATGATACAACCTTATTAATTAGGAAGCAGTTTTGTGACACATCAATGATCTTATTCAGAAGAAAATATCGACAATGGATATGGCGAAGGTTTCAGTCGAGCCGACGGAGGAGGTATTCGATTTCAACTTCTTTTGTTAGGGGAATCACCCAATCTCCATAGAGACCAGAAACAACAGCTGGATCAACCTTGTACTTTCCCTTCTCTCCTCCATCACCAAGCTTCAAATCCTGACCAAATGTCATAGCCTTCTTCGCCACCCTCTTCTTTACTGCTTCTTCAACATCCGCAAATGTCAATAAAGATAGCAGAGTATCTCTATCCTGAAATAACCACAAACACTGAAATTAAAAAATGTTTCTAGTCAATAACACAATACTAGCTTCACAGTTTATATGCATCATAGGAGCACAATGAAACTATAATACCCGAGCACGAATTGGCGGCTCGTAGTCTTTCTGTTCGTCTCTAAATTTAACTTCAGCTACAAGTTTTCCATAGTGAATCCTTCTAGAGAGGGCCTGAAGGGATTAGCAATGTACTTTAGAGACACCTTTCTAACTTCATATCACCGTAGATATAATAAGAAGGCGTTTACAAAGGGATTGTTAAATACCTGCAAACACTCGAGATCACGAGCAGCGGTCGAAGCATAGTTTCCATCATCACCCGGAGCAACAAACAATGGGAGCAGTTTGTTGAAATACATGTCCCATACGGCCTTGTTTATGTTAATAGACATTGCTGCAGGATGCAAAACCTGTTGTTTTGAGATTATAAATCGAATCGGTTTCCAATTTTCGGAAAATCGAGAGGACAAAGACATGTAGTTTAGGCAGCTTGGGGTACTAAATTATACCTCGGGGTACTTATAATGTGGCACCAGTGAGGGTGGTAGATTATCTGGGAAGAACGGATGTTCTTCGGGATTCTCAAATCTTCCAGCCTGCAGCACATTCAAACTTAGTTTGCATGCCACTTAATGTCAAGATACATGAACGAATTGCAAAGAGGCAATTTTACCGCTACATTTAATGACTAGGTTGACGTAAAGGTTCAATTAAAATACTATGGAGTTAGGGAACCAGTTTAGAATCTGAATTATAGTTTGGGGGTGTATAATGCAATTAACCCAGAAAAATAAAATTAAAGACCAAACATTGTTGAGATAAGGGGGAGAAAGGGTACTGTAGCTTGGACGGCCTCTGTTTGTTTAACGAAGAGCTCAACCACAGAGCCGCAAAACCCAGGAACGGAACCGTAGGAAGGGTGGTAGGTCGGAGAATTGAAAGGGAACCTGGCTCGCTCTATCAGACTGAAAACGATGGTGTCCTCTTGCCTTATCAACGAATCCCTCACCATCTGTAGCGTCAACCCATCGTCAACGTTGTTGGACTCTGCATTCGCCGCCATTTCGTAAACTGAAGTGGCTGTCTGAAAGAAATGAGTTAGCATCATCATTATCAGAGACATATTCATGTCTGGTCAAAACAACATTCAAGGTGGATATTCAAGATCTGGTGATTAGAATGAGTGCATTTATGCTTAAAAAGAAAAAAAGTAATCAAAAGTGAAAATTGTACGAGATTTTGAAGAGTAATTACGTCGACAAGTGAGAAGAGCGACGGTTTTCGTGGTCTGAATTATATGCCAAATTTATGACAACTCACCCAACAATGCTAACGCCGGTCGGGAACCAATGAAGGTTTGAATGGAAGTATCAAAAGAACAAACAAGGCAAAAAAAAGGTGGGTGGTGCGTAGTGTGCACGAGAGAGCCGATTTTGTTTGCGTTCAGACTACAATAATGATATTATTATATGCATCAGCTAAGGGCAAATTGTCGGCTCAAGCGTGGCGTGATTGCAATTGCACCGTTAATAACTTGCTTTCTCCCAACAAAAAGGGCAACGGAAAAACGTGACGGTTCCTTCTCTCGTTGCAACTTGGGAACAGAAAAAACAAGGATAAACTATTCTACTGTTTTTAGTTTATGTTTTGATTTTATCATTAAATTTTAAAATGCTTTAATTTTAGCATTAAACTTGACATTTGTTTTTTTTTCGTTGGATTGCAATGACATGATAATGTGATAGTTTCTTATTTGTGATTTTAATAAAATAATCTTCTTTGTTGTTGGTCAATAATTGGACGTCATTGATTACTATCCGTGACAAGATTGATTATTAATTTTTTATGAAATTCATTCAAAATGAATGAAAATTCATCTAAAGGTTTATCATTCTAAAACATTGATCTCCTCCAATAATCTTATGATGAAGTTAGTTTCGAAATATATTATTAATCTTTTCATAAGAATACTTCTCATTGTTCAAATTTTCAGAAGAAAAAAAAAACACTCCAAAACTCAAATCATAGGAAGTCCTCATATCCAAACAGAATAATAGATTTTCTTATGTGTAATTTCGTGAGTTTTAAAAAGATTTTGGAAAAATCTAAATTGATAAAGTGATAAAAGATGAGAAAAGTTCAATGGTGTCTAGAATGATTATAAAATACTTTAGAGAATAATAATTTTTATATGACAACTAAAAATTTGTGAAAAACCCAACCTTTATGGAGAAGATGATGAGATAAAATAAAACTATCTTTTACTTTCACGTCAATAGACATCAGCATCAAATTATTATATCATCTTAATGTTAATGATTTAATAGCTCAATGATAAAAAAAAATTAATAATAAAATTGCAATGATTAAAATTTAGTGACCAAATTGAATATAAATTAAAGTTAATAGACTAATGAGATATTTACCCTAAAAATTAGTTACTTGTCTTTGTTTTATTGGTCAGAAAATAAATTGGTAGTCAACGGCTAATGTCGATGGAGAAGCCTTTTCTCTTTTGCTCGAAGCCCATGAACAACCTATGTTGTCAAAAAAATCTTACCTACAAGGGGTTTATCTTGTTTTAGTTTGTTATAACAGATGTTTTAAACTCTGATGGGCCAAGTTTTTTGAATTGGATTTTTTCAGAAGATTTTATAATGCACTTCGCAAATCGCAACGTATTATTAAAATGACATAATAAATATATCACAAATAAATTTATCTTTATTATGTAAATATTAAAATGTATAAAGATTTATCTAATTGATGGATTCAGGTTCACAACTAAAGGTAATTAGACCCTCATTGTGTTTAGCTTCGCAACTAGTGCAAAAGTCTCTTGATAATCTATACCATAAGATTGTGTGAACCCCTTTGCCACTAACATTGCTTTAAATCTCTCAATGCTTCCGTCTGAATTGTTTTTTTATGGTGAAAACCCATTTACATCTTATTGGTTTATTTACTTGAGGTAAATCTATCAAAGTCTAAGTACCATTCTTGTCAAGGGCCCTCATCTCTTCCTCATTGCCTTCATCCATCTAGGATCACCTAAAACCTCTTCTATTATCCTTGGAACCGGTGTACTATCAATGTTTGTTGTGAAAGCCTCGAAAACAGACATCAAACGTCTATAAGCAAACTTACTTTTGAGCAATAGGTAAATCATCAGTAATAACAAGGGGAATATGTTTTTCACTAGAAGAAGATTCCATACCATCCAAATTTTCCAAGGTAATTGGATTCAAGTCCAACTCTCAACAACTTCTAGGTTGTAGAGTGGACTTCTCTCTCCTTTTGTAGACATTAAGGTCCATTATTTGAGGACTTTTGGAATACAAGGTATTGGTTTTTTATGGAGTCATAGAAAGAATTTGGGTTTGAGTAGGAGAAGGATTTGAAGAAGGCTGTATAGGTGAAGAATAAGGTTAAAAATATAATATCGGTTGAGATGTATAATTGGAAGGAGGTTTAGAAGCTAGTATCGGTTGATGTATAGGATTAGAAGGAAAACCTGTCAACTGTTGAAGGCTGTCAAAAAATTGTACCTGAAATTCATCCTGAATCTCCCCATGAATTTCATATTTCAAGAAATAAGGTTTAGTTTCCAGAAAATAACATCCATAGAGACGTAGGTCTTTTTTGTTACAAGAGAATAACATCTATATCCCTTCTTAGTAGATGAATAGCTGAGAAAAATGCATTTTACTGACCTTGGATCCAGTTTAGATTGCAGAACAACTAAAATCTTGATAGGAAGATCACACGACAAAGGTTTGAACCAAGGAAATTTAACAAGAAGAACATCCCTAGAAGATCGAAAGAGAACAATACAACTAGGGAATCTATTAATAAGATAAGTGACAGTAAGAATGACTCCCCCACCAAAAAAAAACACTTAGGAACATTATAAGCAAACAAAAGAGACCTTGCTACTGAAAAAAGATGTCTATTTTATGTTCAACAATCTCATTTTGTTGAGGACTATTAACACGGGAACTATTATGAATAATACCCTTTTATTTAAAATAAGACCAAAGACATTAGAGAAATATTCGCTCCCATTATCCGTATTCAGAATATGAATCTTACTTTGGAATTGATTTTGGACATGTGCAAAAAAACTCTAAAGAGTGCATCAGCGTCTGATTTTTCCTTCATAAGAAAAATCCAAGTTGTTATACTATGGTCATCTATAAACGTTATAAACCACCTGGATCCATTGACATTTTTTACCAGAGAAGGACCCCATATATCACTATGGATGATGGAAAATAGGTGAGAAGATTTATAAATGGAGGGAGGATACATTGTTCTGTGATGTTTGGTAAATTGGAAAGTGTCACAATGGAAAAGATTAGCCTTTATTATTGAACAAATTTGGGTATAATTTGGCAAGATAAAAGAAACTTGGATGTACATATCTAAAATGCAATAACATAATCTCACTTGAAATAGGGTCAGAAAAAGGAATAGATTTTGAAATGCAACTGGAATAGGCTTGTTTTGGTGAAGAATGAGAACTTTGAAGAATAAAGAGTCCACCAAACAACATAGCACTGCCAATAGTCATCCCCTAACCCAGTACCTGAAACACACATCCATCGAGATCAAACTTAGCACAACATCCCAAGTCACGAGATAATTTACTAATAGATAACAAATTGCAAGGTAAAATTGGAACATAAAGCACATATTTTAAATCAATATCCCTATTGATCGAAATTGTTCCACTCCCTTCAATGGCTACCAAGGAACCATCAAATTTTTTACATTGGACTTGGTCACAAGAGTACTAAATTCCATAAATAGAGGCTCCACTATCGACAATCCAATGAGAAAAATCATTATCAACAGTATTAGAAAATGAAAGACTACCGTCATGTATAAGAAAAGCCTTTTGTACATTAGAAGGGAAATCTTTAATGGGTATTTGTGATAAACCAACCCATGAACTGCTTTTAGAGGCCATTGAATCAAGGATGAAAAAAATAAAAATCGAAAAAACCTAGACTGATACCATGTAGAAATTAAGGATTTAGGAACATAGACCAAAGTGATACTTTGATTTTTTGATACATTGGAAGAGATATACAAGGCTCATTTAAATAGGTTGAGTATAAGTGTTTGAATACAACTACAATTACTCCTAGATAAAGTTATAATTAATTTAAACTACTAAATCAAATAGTATAGAGTTCTAATTAATCTAAACTACTAAATCAAATAAGATATAATTCTAGTTAATCTAAACTACTGCTATTTTATACGTTAATATTCTACACAATGGAATCCAGATTGTAGAATATTCAAAGACTGGAAAATGATCCTCCATCCGTAAGATGGCCTTACTCCCAAACGTGAGTCAAAAAGAGTACCAGTCGGGTAATATTTAGCCGGATATATCTGAGTAACAAACTATTTAACCGTCGTAAGAGACACCAAATTTGCCTGCCAATAAATGCAATATTTAACTACTAAAGATCACGGAAATCAATTCCTCTAGCTGATAGAGATGCTACCGCTGATAGAGATGCTATAGCGGATGAATGATTGTTGCTCGTGTTGAAGAATCAAACCTAATAAGCTCTAAACCCGATCAAAGAATGAGATGGAAAAGAATTGAAGGAGATATGACAATTAGGGTTTTTAAGGGATTTATGATTGCTGAAAATTGATCAAAGAAAATAAGATTAAGATAATAAAGATATAATAATAAAATAAAAGAAGACAAAGAATATAATGGATAGTGATACGTAGCCAAAATTAGGGTTTTGGTGGTGATGGGTGAAAATGATGATTTGGTGATGATGATAGAGTAGTGGAAGATGAAAAATATATGGATAACTATCCCTATCGAACCCTCCTAGTCACAATGAAAAGGTAAACACGATAAATCGCTCTAATCAACCCTCCTAATTGCAATGAAGAGACAAACCGGAGTGTGAAGATTGACCTCCCTCGCAAGAACTTGAAAGAACTTGAGGTTGAAGAAGCTTTAAAGGTATAATGCAATCAACACTTACAAAAAAGTACTCACATTGTATTACTATTCAAGAAAGTTGTGTTTAGAATGATGAGAGGAGCCTTATTTATATGGGGTGAAGGAGTTCTTGTTGTAGTATGACTAATACTTGAAAATAATAATAATAATAAAAATAACAATAACAATACTATCCTAATTCCTAATAGTAATAAACTAAA